CATAAGCAAGCCCCTGATAATGTCAATCAGACCTTAGATTCATTGCATCTGAATTTATCAAGCACCTATTTTTGTCATGACCACATTTATAATAAGCATAGCAGGTTATGGGAGGATAACATAGCAGGGGAATAAGGAAAAAAAACATACACTAAACAGATATACATTAATATAGGTAGCCACTGGAAGAGAGGCCAGCCTACTCAGAGCTTTCAGTTGAAAAATTGATTTTCATTTACAAGTCAGTCATTGAGCTTTGCATCAATCCAATTATTTCTCTTCAAAGTACTGAAAAACAATAATTATTTGGAAACAGATAGGAAGCTAGACAATTCGTGCTTAATATAGTAAAATAATTGCAAATAAAAATTATAATTTATCAAAATTTGTATGATCTATATTCAGCTTCTTGTCAGGTTGTATGATTTGGTTCAAGCCAAAAAAAAGATTTCCAAGTAACTTCCAAAGATTCTCACAAGTAAATCCTAACAAAAAAATTCACGACTATGCACACTGAGTTAGTAAATTAATTACTTTCCTTTTTAAACCGTTAATCATCTGGTTTTCATTCTGGAGAAAGCCCAGAGTTTCATCTTCCTTTGTACTGCAACATTAAACCAAGAAAATTGCCAGTGGCAAAATAAACATCATAATGCTTCATGTAAGGTTTCCAAGATTCTGGTGGGAGCTCTGTACAGAAGTATTTCTGTACTCCGGGTTACGACATTCAGTTATTTAAATATTAATAAAAAAGTGATGCAAACCACATTAGAAAAGAAAGCAAATATTTTCAATTAACTTTATTTTTAGAAAAAGTCCTAGGATTCCGAATACAGCAGCATTTTCTGAACACAGTGTTTTTCCCTTAAGATTTCTCGCTGGCAAGAATCCATAACCTACTCAACTCGGTGGTGGGAGGTGAACTTTTGTAGAGAGAACAGGCACCTCAGAACACTTCTAAATGGCCAGCCAACACATTAAATAGCTGCTATAAATGTTTAACAATTAAAACTTCAACCAAAATAAAATTCTATTTTTTTTCACAGCATGAAACACCAAGTTAAAAGTACCAAAGGAGTAGTTTCAAGTGCATTTTATAAGTTAACCTCTGAGTTATACAACAACAACAACAAAAAAAATTAACTCACACTGCAAGAAAAATGGGGTTAAGCAGTGCTATACCAAACCTAATTTATTCAGGCAACATGCAATCTGGCCTCAACCAGATTGTATTATCACATCTCTACATGGAAAAAAAAAATAAAAATCAACAGCTGTTATTTTTAGGGGAAAAAAATATTTCTTTAAGGTTTCTGGATAATAGCCAGCAGCACAGGGCTATGTCAAGATGATGGAATAACTCAACCTTACATCTCTAAGCATCATGGTCACAGGAAACAGAGGCCAAGGCTAAAATGTGACCCATTGTGGGAGGATTTAGTTAAGCCTCAAGTTTAAGTGGAGTAATTTCTTTCTCAAAAAAAGACCCCAAAACAAAACACAACAAAATATCAGTAGTGAAGTGCACAGGTCATACTACATTTGTTGAGTATCCATAAAATATCCATTTCCAATCTCTGTCACACTTCCACAATGTGCAGGTGTCATACATATATTCCCTCAAGTGATCAGTCAGAAGTGAGATGAAGCTTTGAACTTCATTACTTAAGAAGAGCAAACGTCACCAAGAAAATACCACTCTGTCCACAGTCAAGTGGCAAAGACTCTACCATACATTTCTTAGAAGCAGGACTTCTTTCCCATGAAAACACACACTGCTGATGGACAGCTGGCATTTTAACAGCTGCATTAGTAATGCTCAAAGCTAGATAGCAAGCTTTTCAACAGAGGACCTGGAAGTGTTCGCTTACACGCATTTACAAATTCAATTAACACAGGATACAGGGGGCAAGACCTCCCTGCACAGTTAGGAGAAAGAGCAGAGTTCATGCCTAGTGCAGGGTTAAAGATGAAGGCTGGCAGGCAAGAACCAAAGGCAGCTGCCAAAACCTCCACTTCTCCACTTTACAAAAACCATTCCTCTTCTGCAGCTGCGCCACTCCCACTGCCCCGTTAACCAAAGGTGCACACGCGGGTAAGCACGAACAGAACGTGGCTCCTTAAAGGGAATCATAAATAATGTGCTCCCAAAGAATGAACAGCATGTGTAAATACTCCAAAACAAAAACTATCTGTCACTAGTGATATGGAGAGGTTTCCTGGTGGGCAAAATTCTGACACTGCTGAGTCAAACAGGCAAAATGCCAAATGTAAAGTGAAAAAAGGCAAAATTTGAAAAATAATCTCCCCCTCAAACCTCTAAGCATGTCTCAAGTCTATGTAATGCTTATGGTTCACATAGTCATGTTTCTGAATACACTGATGTGCCAAGGTTTCCATTCTCAAGTGATAAACCGGTGAGGTTATTGGTCCCTCTTACTATGTCCTGGAAAATCCAAGCATGAAAAAAAGGTACAACAGGACCTAATGGAAAAATTCAGTGTTTAATACAGACCTTTTATTTTTATGGTTGTACCAATAAAAGTGAGGAGTGGCAAAAAAAGGAGTTGAATTTTTGACACGAGTTACTTTACGAAACATACAAGAAAAAAGTCATATTTAACAAAACAGAGCTTAACAATCAGGCATATCACTAAGGAGGACACTTCTTACAGAAATGCTAGTTGCATACAGACATAACTGATAACATTAATTCAGTGAATAGCCACAGCATTTGACAAGAAGCACAGTCCCACTCAGCAAAGATTGAAGATGGGGATAAATGTCAGAAATAATCATAAGAAAAGCTAGCTTTTCTTCATTAGAAACTACATATTAGCAGCAGTATACAGGCTACATAACTTACATGCACATATCTCTCTAAGGGGGAGGAAAATAGCAACAGGCATGATACTGGATTTCATCAGAGGTCTGGAAGGTAAGTGATCAACTAAAAAACGTGGGGACATAGAAGAAAAAAGGAGATAACCTCTCAATAAAAGGCCCTAAGGCAAAAGCAATGTTCATACAATCACACTACCAACAGTCCAAGCCTAGAACACATGTTAAGACAAAACTCATGTACATATGCTTCCTAAATGTGAAACATTTGAGTAAAACTACTGACTTTCAGCCATGAACATAACTTCAAGACATCTTTGTAATAATTTTCCATGTAGTAAAACCACAGAAAACATAACCTAGAGAACCTGAATGTTAAACAAGATTTCAACTTACACGAGTAACAGCCTGAACAAATATGTTACCAAAATTAAAATAAATAATACAGAAGGATGCAAGTGTCTGCAGTGCTATCCATCCCAATGATGTCTGATTGCTCATCACAGCACAACAGCAATTAATAGGGACAAGCGAAACCAAGGGCTTCTTGACAAACTGGGGAACCATACTGGAGGTTATGTTTCAAAGATTTCGTTTATTGCTTTCTTCTACAATGCATTATGCTTCTACAGAAGCATAAGAGGTAAAGAAGTAGACCTCTACAGTCATTGAAGGTATACCTGCTATTTTAACATATCTCTAAGTACCACGACTGATGCAGGTACTGCTTTTGCACTTTTGAAAGCACAACCACACCAATCAGCACTGAAGATAAATAAGGAGCACATCCTTACAACTTTCAAATCCTCTTATCCTGTATACCAAACACTTCTAAAATCTATGTTCATTAAATACATTGTCCAACACAAATTTTAAGAAGTGTGTCCCCTCTTCTCTCTCCATGTCCACCAAGCATGAAGGGGGACATACAGAAGCAAAACCTTCTCACAGACACCGTGCCTTTGGGTGAAAAAGTACCCAAAAAGTGAAAGATTTTCTCTCAAGAAAACCAAAACCAAACCAGAGCATGATCCTGACAGCTAACAAATACCCTTGATAGACATTCCAGCTGATGGAATGAGAAGCTAATTTTTCTAGCTTGGGACAAAATAAGTTCTATTTAAGGTCCCAAAACATGACTGAATAAAAGCCCTCACCACCTGGTTCTTCAGACTCCTCAGCTTCCAAACAGTAAAGTACTGTATAGGAGGCTAAAGCTCTTGGTCTACAAGTGCCCACATTGGGCCATATCCACCTGGTCCAGATGCACATATCGAAACAGGCCTGGGATTCCCATAATATCCCAGAAGTGTCTGATCTGGCAGGTGTTGTCAGCATAAATATGCACAAAACCTACAACCATACCCCCAGGAAAGCATAGAAGAGCTGTCACAATCACCTTTATTGAGGGACACACAGAAGCACTGATGGTCCAATGGGTCACAGTTTAATCTGTTGTCCCATGATGTAAGAAACCTGTGATAGCACTCAGCTATTCTTCAGCTGCAGGGAGCCTAAAGCTGCATGTCCCTTTTGAAGGGAGGAACTTCACTAGAAACTGTTTGTTTAGTCATAAAGCAACTTCCTACAGCAAAGCTGAAGGTGCACTACTTGGCAAAAAATACTTAACAATATCCAAAGGGATTGTGAAAAATCAGCATAAGCATTCTATTAAAAAAAAAAAAAAGTACGGTTTTACTTCCAGAATTAAATAAAAATATAGTTTTATAGCTGTATTTAGACCACAAAACTTTGTGAATTAGCATACCAGCTTTACATCTGTACATTTTCAGTTTCCTGTCACTATTGTTCTTACACTGTCAGCATGCCACTTACCTTAAAATAACCACAAGTATCCAAAAATAACTTCGTTTTGAATGTGTAATGCTATATTTGACACTCATTCATCAATTAATAATCTGGTTTTAGCACATGAGTTTATGACTCCTCAAGTCTCTTTTAATCTCTACAAGTATTTTGAGTGCTGAAATTTTTCTTTACTTAAAATGAACTATGGCAAATAAAACCCCACAACCCCCTTTTACCAATTTAACACAAATATTTAGGCTGCAGACAATCCCAAATAGATGCTTCCTTGAGGAAATTAGCTATTTAATGCCAATGAGAGGATTACATCTGTATAAAGCACAACAAAAGCACGTGACACCCTGTGCTATACATCCGGATACTACTGTCATGAACAGGGAAGCAATTCTAAGTATAGCTGCCAAATTCCTCTTTATTTTCCAGCAGGAACTCCTAACTGGAAACACAGCTTCTTCCTTTTCTGCATTGATACAGCACTCCCAAAGGTAGACACAGCAATCTGTTATGCCCAGATCTCATTCAAGGTCCTCTCCAAGTCAACAGCAAAAATTCCTTTGTTTTTGATGGGAGGAGGAAGGCTGGGTTCCCACAGAATTCACAGTTCAGCTTCCTTTTTAAGTACCTTTCCCTCCCAGGACATGCACAGCTATTCACAGCATCCTATCTCCCCACATTCCTATTCTCAGCTCAAGTGTATGAACAGAAAAATCTCCATTTCTGCATACCCCACTTAGATGCAAACCTGGGAGCACTCCAGAACTTCATGTTAACTCAGACACACATGAAGAATTAACCATCTGTGTTACTCCATCTGCTGCCTACTGTACTTTAGACTAGTCCAGAACAGCTTATCACATGTCACTTTCTTGTGACCTCAACTCAGAATGTTAGGCTTTTTTGTTACAAAAAATAATGGGACTAAAATCATATGGTTTTCTGGGTTAGTAACAGCTGTTTCAGACAATGTTGCAAACAGATTTTCTTTGGCAAGTTACTGGTTGGCAAATCATGTTTTTTAAATTGTTTGTAGTCTGCAAGAACCAAATAAAAAGGAAGTTTCACACACTAGACAAATAAAGAAACATAAAAGTAATTGCATTTCAAAAAAACTCTTCTGTTTAAATTATTTCTTTAAATAGAGATGGAGACAATAAATCTACTACATTGCATATTTAATAGCAGCTTACATGTATAAACTCTTAAAAATTAAAATAATATCTATCTTCTGAAATATGTTTCTCCAACTTTCTTCTAAACGACAAGCAACCAAGGCCAAAATGTCAATCATAAATCATTAGAAAACAAAATTACTTTTACGTTTTTATTTCATTAACATTTCCGTCAGTGATACCATTTAGGACTGTGGCATCTTGGCTTTCACTTGTGTTGTGGATAAGAAAATGCTCATGTATTTTTGTAAAAATTATTCTCAGCAGAATCAAATCTGATCCAAGAACATAAGAATGTCAAAATTTGTTATTCTATAGCATTTGGTCTTAAGGAACAAAAATTTCAAAAAGAGACTGTGCAAATAATTTCTATATTCTGCACCTGTTTTTCTTAGCTTGTCTTTATTTCTAAAAATAACACCTCCAAATGCTCACATGTACAGCTGTGTTTGAGTCAATTTAGAGGCTTCAGTGGCTCTTTGATAATGTCACCTCACAAAAGAGGAACCTGAAACAAAGAGTGGATAGAAACCGTTTATACACTGCCCAATCTTATGTCAAAACGGAAAATAAATTAATGAATATATACTTCTTATAAAGTACAAAAACTACTGGAAAATTATGAATTTTACAAAACAGGATAAGAAGCCCATAAAGATCAGTGTTGCAAAGGCATGACTTGTGATTTGGGAACAGGAACTCAGGTCCCATCTGCTATAGGCTTCTTGATGATTGCATTAAATAACTTTTCACTTCTCTTTTATACCTTCATTTCAGAGTTAAAAATAGCAAAACCACTTTTCTATTCATAGAACAGAGAAAAGATAAATTCAGTTATTCTGATGATTCATTCAGATACAATAACCATGGGAGACATTCTAATATTCAGAATGAAAGACAGGCAGATGTTAGTGGCAGAAGCTTCATATCATTTCTATGAAACATAAATATATATTGCAGTCTATCAAACGTTTAGAAAGGAACCATCTATTTTTTTAAAGAGCATTCACATCAGATGAGAAGTGAAAAGACTACATGGCATGATGACTTTAACACAGCATTAACAAGTATCTTGTCCTATTAAAAGTTTTTCGTATCTCTTCCTAAATAATTTAAGAAAGTTGTTTTATACTTCTGTGTTCTGGAAATCAGTTCAGTGCCTGCACATATGACAACAGTTTCTTAATTTACTACATAGCCTACTCATGTGGGAGCATTGCTTTACTTTATGCAAGGGAGAAAGTATAACTGTAATCAGAGACTTTCAAGAGTACCATACACAGTTTATTTCTAAATATACAACCTTTCTGTTCATGTTTAAAAAATTTACACAAAGCAGACAATTTTTCACCTGAACTGTTTAGATGAAGAGCACAATTTTAGCTGCAGGACCCCCAGAAAGAATGTTTTGAGACTGTTCAGATTAATACCTAAAAAGTTGTTCAAATCTCAACAGAAATTAAAAGTTATAACAAGGACAGCAAATCTAACATAGGCAATATATGAAACAAAGCTCGGAAAGACAGAATATCAGAGTTTTAATCCAAAGCAAAGCATCAAATCAAGTACCTGATTTAGGGATGTTCCCAGTAGTACTCACATCTTAAAGGGTTATCTACACTTCAAAAGTGTAATCATTCAAGTTAACCTGCAACGCAGTCATCTGAATTTACAGGGTTTTTACTATGAAATATTTGTATTTTTATACATTGTTATAATGATTTTGAAAGTGTATTTTGGCACAGAAGTACCTTCACCAACAATGTCAGCAAAGCAAGTATTTATGTCTAACTGTCCTAAAGAAACGATTGGTTATTTGTCAAGCCCTCTAACTATCAGTCTTGATGTTTTTCTGACTAGCTGGACAGCCCAGCTTTTTACCTGAATATTATAAAAGCTAGAGAATTTATGCATTGTATTAGGTCACCATGGACCTAATGGAACATTAGCTTGAACTCTCCAGAAGAGAGGACTGAGAATGTGGGGGGAAAAGCCCAGTAAACACACCCAGGTCAGTGAAGAAGCAGAGGGAGGAGATGCTCCGGGTGGTGGAGCAGAGATTCTCCTGCATCCCCAGGTGCAGACAAGGTGATGCAGCCCATGGGGGTCCCGGGGGGGGCAGAGATCCGCCTGCAGCCCGTGCAGGACCCCACACGAGAGCAGGTGGATGCCCTGCAATCCAGTCAGAAACCCACATTGGTGCAGGTTCCAGGCAAGACCTGTGGCCTCATGGAGAGAGGAGCCCATGCTGGAGCACGTTTGCTGGCAAACCTTGTGAGCCCATGGGACACCTATGCTGGAGCAGTCTCTTCCTAAAGGACTGTGTCCTGTGCAAGCTACCCAAGCTGGAGCAGTTCTGAAGAACTCTGTAATTCTCACATCAAGCTCTCTAACACTGCACAATGCACACACCAGCGTAGGCAGTGTTGCCAATAAGGATTCACACACAGACAAAGAAAGATGTTTCCTGGCTAGTGATTCTAAGAAAGAGTCCCTTTGGCTCTCAAAACATTCATTAAACAGCTCATTATGCTACCCATCTTTCCTAATATCCACAGCTTGAATTCCAGCTCTCAGAAAAATCTTAACAAAACAGAACAATAAACCCAGAAGGCATATAGGAAAAGGCAGATTAGAGCGTGGCCATCAAATACCTTAGCTCACTTTTCAGTTTTGCAAATGCACATTCAATTCTAATCTCTTAACTAAGCTGCAGCACCTTTCTCCCACTCACATGTCCTCACCAAAACGCTACAGAAGCATAATTTTGTCACTACAAAGGAAATACTTTCTAAACCATTCAAAAATTTCACCTTGAGATTCCTTCCTAGGAAAAGACATGCCAATGGCGTTGACAGAACTGGAAAGCTCAGCTTTAATATCCTAACAGTTAAACTTTCCGTATGGTGCTCCAGCTTGTGACCAGGAAAGAAAAGTATCCTTTGATAACAATACAGACTTCCTCAATACAGTAGCTCTGAATTTCCAACTATCAGCATTAACCAGGTCAGCTATTCATCAGAAGCACACGGAAAGTAAATTAGACATGTCAAGGTGAAAAGTTTCATGCTCCTTGTCTGCCTCAAAGCACTAATGGGTAGCCTGTTTCTCTATTTCTAAGGCACGACCAGGTTTCTGGGAAAGTGTTTCTTGAATCTGTGAAAACCTTTTCACATTTTCAGGACTGCCTACTTACTAAGAGTAGAAGAACTCCAAAGCAGCATCCACTGATGAACTGCAAGTTTCCTGCCAGTCCCCTGCTGCTCTGGTTCTGAGTGCACAAGTCTCACAGCAGCTTGGTTAAAATCAGCACTGAGAATAATTTCTGACAACTTTTCAGCTCTGTTGGCTTTTTACCCACTCTAGATTCTTCCTCTATCAGCCACCATATGCTACATTAATGTCTTGAGCATAGATTGAAATTTTTAAAAGGTAAAGTCTCATTTAAAGTGCAAAGTAAACCCTAATTTGGCTCTTGCCAAGGACACATACTAGTTTAAAATGCATACGTTCTGTTCAGACCAGTATTTTTACTAAGATAAAATATACTGAAAAGAGTCAAATTTAAACTTACTTGAGCACAGGATTGCTCAAGTTCAACTATACTGTTTTGAAATGCTGTTTTGTATTAATCTGTACAAGTCATCTACAAGCCCAGACATTGCGACTTTAGACTTCTGTGATTCCATTTTCTTTTTTGTTTTATTTGAGCCCAAAAGCAAAAAATAATGGGGGTCAGATTTAGCTTTACTGAAGTTGTATTGAAAAAAATTATGGGACATGGGATAATGATTTTAAATTACAAAAGGGTAGATTTAGATTAGAAATAAATAAGGAACTTTTTACAATGAGGGTGATGAGATACTGCCACAGGTTTCCCAGAGGATTTGTGGATGTCCCATCCCTGTAAGCACTCAAGGTCAGGTTGGATGGGACCCTGAGCAACATGCTCTAGTGAGAGGTGTCTCTGCTTTTTGCAGGGGGGTTGGAACTAGGTGATCTTTAGGAGATCCCTTCCAATTGAAATCAAATTACTCTGTGGCTCTATAATTCTGGTTCAAGACCAGACACATAACCATGGAAGGTACAGACTACATACATAGAGATGAAGAGATGAATCAGAGTGAGAAATGAAAAGTAAAATGATTGCATTTGAAAACCCATTCCAAAGGTC